TGTCCACTTAATTTCTATATTTTTTTTTTTTAAATAAATCACTCCTAATCGAACTCATGGGTTCTCACTTAGAATATTGTGTGTCAATGCTGGGGATGCATGAAAGGAAGCATATAAGCACCACGGGGGAGTTCTACAAAATAAAGTAAACCGTAAATAAAACCACAAATCAGCACGTGACACTTGAAAAATGTGACATGACCAAACGAGTTTCCTTAACAATCCTAACAAGAAACCACACTATTCGTTCAAGACATTTTATACCCTTTTCTAGTGTTGTGACGCTACAGAGGAAGAAAATATAAAGGTAAAAAGAAAGAGAAAAAGGAAAAATGCCCCCAAATGATCACATTGAACTAAATCTCACTCCTATCATTTTACAGGAGACAAATTTTCAAACTAAAACAACAAAATGGAAATCAACAAACATAAGTTGTTTAACAACTAAAGTCAGCAACAGAACATGCAAATAATAATCAACCTGCCACGTGACCTCGCAGCTTGTTGGCAACATAGAGGATGTGGCTAATGTTTGTTGATGGATAGTTTTGGAGTAACTTCAGATTTGAAGTGAAGTCACCCGCAAGTAAGCGCTTTCTGACAATGATCAGCATGGCACAACAAACTCGGAGCAGTGTTTCCTGCAAAAATTGACATTGTTTAGCATCCAGTAAAGTTGCAGGATAGTTCGATTTCCACTTCATGTAACTTAGCTTTCAGCCGAAGAAAACAAGCATATGAACAAGAATGAGTACAGATGATCATGAACACCATAAGTAAAAATAGAAAAAGGGTTAAAGACCATATACTCCTCATTTAGCATTAACTAAGAAATATTTGACGAGGAGATGGTTCGTGATGCTTCAAACTTCAAAGAGTTAAATGCTATCTTATTATCTTAGATTTCAATATCAATAACCTGTAATTCAACAAACATTTGGCTTGGAAACAACAACTTTTAAAAGAAAATGGAAGTGCTGTTAATATAACTATGAAGTAAAATGCACAAAATTGTGGAACTAATCAGACAATGAAAGGGTTTTGAATCAGAACACCACACTTTGAAGACCAGCTTTCCATTGGAAACAAGTGAGGGTGCTAGATCATTTGTTATCAGACAGAGAAAACATAAGAGACATGATAAAGTGTGGCAAATATGAGATGCAAAATTCATAATTGGTGACAAGATCTGTATAGGTAGACAATGCTCCCACCCACACAAACCCTATTTGCATGTATATTTGCCTATATTGTTGCCAGTACATGTGTGTGCCCGGTGGTGGGCTCTGCAATATTTTCACATGCAGCTTTACCTCATGCAAACAAAAAAGTGAACTCAGCCTCTTCTGGGATCAAAGGAAAATTGAGGAGGAGCAAATCAATGGACCCAATAGGTGCTCTTACGTGCTCAAACTACCAAGATCGATTTAATATCAATATGTTACCATATGTGACCAATTTAATAAATAGTTTTTAAAGCCTAGACTAACTTGGCCATTTTATCCTGTGCATCCACGTCAAGATTGTATTTACTTACCATCAAAGAAATTGTCATTTAGATAGCATGCTGGTTTTGATTACAGATGGAATTCTCCAACATACTAAAGATGCTCATTTCAGGCATTTCACAGCTTCTGATTACTTCACATTGATGCAACTGCTATAGATTAACTAGAAACAAAATCAACTGATCAAGTACTTAGTGAACTTAAGATGCTCTCTAATGCTTCACTTCAGGCATAGTTATGAAGGTCTATACCGGTATAACTTCTTTATATTTCAAATGGGCAGTGCAGAAGCTCAATAATGTAGTCTGCTGGTCATATCTCAGTTTCTCCAACAGATTATGTTGACTTAAGAGAACACTTAATGCAACAGTAAAATCACAGAAGATTGCTGAAGTCTGGTCGAAGCCCCGGCTTTGATAGCTAAAAGTACTAACTAAAAACTATAACATAATTAAAAGAAATGGAAAAACACAAGCGTACATATAAATGCTCTAGTAGACTAGTGTACACGCAGGCACAGACAATTAGATTACCTAGAGATTCGAAGACAAGATTAAAACTGTGACTTACTTGAGGACCATCAACATCACTCAGAAGAGTGTCCCATATTAAGAGAATGTCTGCAAATTTGAATTCTTGGGTCAAAAGAAGGGTTATCCACCTGAATGCGTAAAACTGGGGATTTACCTACACATACAGATAGACTCAGTGGGAAAAAAGGAACTAAATTACAACACTCTACAACAACGCACTACCACAGTAAATTAATCAGCAGAAACATTTGCTAGGCCTTCAATACAGTTCTTTGCTAATAAGCAGGTAAATATCACTTGATTAGAACAGCAGCAAAATGCCTAAGGTCCACTCTTATAAAAGTTATGCATAATAATTGGAAGGGGCGATGTATTAGGAAAAGCAAACATGAAATTTCCCATGGATTTCTTTAACATAGTAATATATCTCCAATCCCCGAATCACCTTTGGGTACTAATAGTGAAATATGGGTAGCCTACACTAGATTAAAGACTAGTATACTGAAAGGTTAATGAACAACTAAAAAAGAAATTATTATTAAATAATAAAAGCAGATAATTGTTACAACTTAAACAAGTAATCACCTTACCTTACTCGCGAAGAAAATAAATATTCAATTAAACAGAATACAGAACCTAATCATTGGATCTAATAATTTAATCTGACATGATTACAAAGATTCAGCAACTGAAGTCCTCCAATTTTTTCTATCCTCTATACGACCGCATGTGGCCCTGAATAATAAGTCTTAAAGCCATCTGCCAGAAATTAGAAGAATTACTAAAGCTACCTAAAGTTGATGCAATGATTAAATATTTAAATTAAAACAGTATACCGGAAAATCCAAGTTTCAGAATTCTTGCTCCTGGTTCACGTAAATATATATACACATGCATTAATAAATCATAATATGCAAACTCTAAATATTTGCATCGGTTATTTTTCGCATACAATAGTACCCTCCAAACTCAGAACCATTACAACTAGAGTAAACCAAAGATGCAGATGGCAGAAAGGTACACGATCACATAGCTCTTACTTTTGTTGTTATCTCAAGATGACGCCAGAGCTCTTCATCATGTTCCTTTAAAAGCCTTGATAATCTTGTGATGGTGGAACGGATCCCCACAACACTATTATCAAGTTGTTGAACAAAATTATCTCGAAATCCGCTTAATAACTCCACAAAACAGAAGAAAGTGTCTGCTTCAGCAGAAACCTGTAGCAGTCGCATGAAGAAAAAGGTTACTGGAATATAAACTAACAATATGAAAATATAGCACCGAACCCCACTTTTAGATATTACATTGAATAGATTGACAAACTTATTTTTGGCAAATGAAGAAAAATACTTGATAGGAAAACTTCAGCTGCAAAAAGCTCTGATATAGAATCACAGAAGTTCCTATTTTCGCAATCATCCAGTAAATATATGCACTTACTTATAATGTAATAACAAAAATAGCAGCACCAACAATATAATGATTCGCTAAAGTAATCAACAAAAACTATGCAGCCCAACTTTTCTATCATCAATCATACAAAAATGCACTGCAAAACTTATATTGATTATTAATACCTGATAGGGATACTAGTACCGACTCGACCCAACCGGGTAAAGACCCATGAAACCGGGGTAGGATAAAGCCCCAAGGCCGAACCGAGCCGATCGACCCACCCGAGGGTCAACCGGCCCGAGGGGTCGACCCTAGCGTCGACCGGCTGATGCTCGACGTTGAAAGTTGAATGGCCTAAGTGGCCGAACATCGACTGTAGCATCAACCGATGAAGGGGCTCGACAGGGATTCGACCTGCCCAAAGGGTCGAGCTTCGACCCTTTAGCCATTGCGTGCTAGTTACTTGGCCGATAGACATTTAGGGATTTATGGTCCCGAAAAGAAGACCGTACAACTAACCACTATATAAAGGGTAAATTCCATGGGAGGTAAGATTCCTCTATTCCGAGATATTGACTTGGGCGTCGGAGGGTCTTGCGCCGGAGCAATTCCGGCGCTTTTGCACGTACCGGCGAGTTCGTGATCCACGGTTCAAATTGAAGAGGGCCTTTTCGGAAAACCGGAGCCACTTATCTCGGATCATATCAGTACCTATGGAGAAGTAACTGTTTCTCGTAGATATTTAGAAAGAGATAGTAGTACTACAATCGGCCACAGCTGTGTTGTCGTCTAAATATGTTTATGAATGTATTTTCTCACAACTAACAAGGAAAAAAGAACATGATAACAGCCAATGCTACAAAAACAAATGAGAATTATAAATTGGCAGGGAAAAGGATGGTGTTTACTAGCCATCTAAAGAAACTAATCTTTTAAATAATAGGACACACTAAAAAGTGCCCCTCTCTAGAATGTCAATACTCAAGCCCCAGACCCCCATCTGCATCACTACTACCTAATATCCCAAACCACCCTTTAAAAAAAAAATATTAAAAAAAAAAAA